GTGAGTCCATATACATATAAAAAGTATAGTAATCGATAGATCGTAGATTAGATCCTACCGAGATCGTTTAACGATCCTCGAATACCTAACCATTGCGAAATTCATTAATGCTCTTACCGTTAAGCAATAAATTTTCTCTTTACATTCCGCGTACTCGTAAGCCGATCGTAAGCGATTTAATCGCCATCAGCTAAATTAGTCTACGTCCTGCGTTAAGGGGTAAAAAAAAAAAAGGAAAGAAAAATTAAACTCATGAGAGAAGAGAGAGAAAGAGATATATATATATATATATATATATATATATATATATACGACGAATGTTTGGATACTGTTTAGGTACGTTTAACAGAGACAACGAGTTTGTACGTTTTATCGTATCCGTGAATCATGTCTTAGTTTAATCCGTTTTATTCTTAACACCCAAATTCTCTCTCTCTCTCTCTCTCTCTCTCTCTCTTTCTCTTTCTTTCATACTCGGACATCACTGTGGACGATCGATAAAGAATTAATATCCGGCGAGTCGATTGGTCGTTAGCCTGAGTCTCGCGTTGAAATAATAATAGCGTTGGGGTATTGAGTAGCGCGTGGGCAGTCGATGGAGGGCGAAAAAAAAAAATAAAAAGAGAGAGAGAGAGAGAGAGAGAGAGTGAGTGGATCGACGAAAAGAAAAGAGAGAAAGAGAGAAAGAGAGCCTCTCGCCACCTCCTTGACAGTGACAAATGAACGGAGATTTCAATCAGTGAATGGAATCACCGCTCTGGCTAGCTGCGTCTTTCTCTTACACACGCATGATACACGCGTAGGTCCTTGCGTGCGTGTAACGCTTGGGAACACTATACTCGGACACACCTCAACCTGTCGCGTTAGTAACCGAACGAACGACTTCGGCGGCCGGTCCAGCTCTCTCTCTCTCTCTCTCTCTCTCTTTTTCTCTCTTTCTCTCTTCTCTCACGAACGAGATACCTTTCGAAGCGACGAAAGACGATCGGATTTGAAAACGTAAAGTGCACTCTCTCTCTCTCTCTCTCTCTCTCTTTCTCTCTCTCTCTCTCTCTCTCTCTCTCTCTCTCTCTCTCTCTCTCTCTGTCTCTGTCTGTCTGTCTCTCTTTCGTTTTCTCTCTAGTTCTTATATTATTCCAAGTTTCTCCTCTTCCTTGATGTTTACTTCCAGTGTTTCTTTTTTTTTTCCTTTTTTATTCTTTGTTCGTCTTTCCCTTCTCTTTTCTTTTTTTCTTCTTTTCTTCTTTTCTCTCTTTCCTTTTTCCCCCACGTGAAATTTGTTTAGAATTTTTTTCAACGAGCTGCTTATATGACGCGACTGGATCACCGATACTCGATCATTTTATAATAATCGATATGTTAATTGACGAACAGTATGATAGCTCGTATCATACTTTTCGACGTACCTTCATTCGAATATTTTTTTCTTTTTCTTATTTCATCAATTTTTTTGTTAGTTTTTAATTTTCGTTTTTCTTTTTCTTTTTTTTTCTCTTTTTTTTTTTTTCTTTATTTTCTTTTCTTTTTTCATAAAATTCGTTGTCGAATCTCTTTTGAGAATTATCGCCTGACACGTACGAGTACGTAGAGTGACACATACGCTTATTTTATAGTAATTAATTAATATTTTATAGTAATTAATTAATCATAGTTATACTCGATTTTTTATTTAGTTTCTTTTTCTTTTCTTTTTCTCGTTAATCCTTTCTTACATTCAACTATTTTCTATTAGAAAATTTCAAGAGAATTTTATTTTATTTTATTTTATTTTATTTTATTTTTATTGTTGTTCTTGTTATTTTGATAATTATCACGTTGAACGCTGATACTCTAATTAATTAATTAACCGAAAGTTATATTCGTCCTTTACGACATTTCGTCATTTGAGGGTATTGTTTAGAAAATTTGATTAAAATATTAATTAACTAATCAGCTAAAAAGTATGTCCTCCTCGTTCCTGACATATCTACATTCGAGCTATTTTGTTTTAGAAAATAGTATTACTACATTCACGAAAAATAATTACACTATACCATTCGACGTTCTTCAATTTTAATAATAATCAACTAATTATCTTTAAAGTACAATTTCTAATTTAACAAAAAAAGTACGCTAATGAACTTTCTTGTATCTCTTATCTAAAAGAAAAAAAAAAAAAAAGAAAAAAAAAGAAGAAAAAAAGAAAAGAAAAGAATAGAAAAAAGAATTATGAGAGACGTCATTTCGAATCGTCTAACTAATGGAAAAATTATTCGTTATTATTTTACGTTCAAGTTACGTATAAATGTGTGAAAAAAAAAAAAAACTATTTTTCTTTTCACCGATAATTTAATAAACAAAATTTATTTCATTTCGATCGAACGATTGAATGCGTCAGATGTAGTGTAAATTTTTTGCGACGTTGTAAGTTCTTTTTTCTTTTTTTTTTTTCTTTTTTCAATGCGTCCATATAATGGACACAAGTAAAGAAAGATATACGTTAGAATAATGTTAGAAAATTCGAAGAAAAATTGCTACGTTAAGAGAGAATCAGAATGATAGTTCACTCGTTTTCCCTTACAAAACGATAGAAAACGATATTCTCATCTCCAGGGTTTACTCATGTCGTTCGTCTTTTTCCCGAAACCTTTCTCGTGAAATCGCAGTAAAGTCATGGCTAAGGTATCGGTACCGTTCCCTGAAGAGGGGGTATCCTATTCGATTCTATTCGATTTGATTCGATTCGATTCAATTCGAATAGACGACGAGGTAGAATAATGGGCTCTCTTTTTACCCCATCATCAAGAAAAAAAAAATAAAAATAAAATAAAATAAATTTCTTTCCAAAGCATCATCCGAAAAAAATCGAAACGTAAGTACACTTACGGTGTTAAAAGGAAGAAAAGAAAAAAAAATAACAAAACAGAAAAGAGAGAGACGAAATAAGAAACAAAAAAAAAAGAAGAAATTTTCCTTAATCTTAATATCGAAGAAAAAAAAGAAAAATAAACAACAACAAATCGATTCTTTATCAAAGATCGTATTAAAGGGAAATGATATCGATATTCTTTGATATTAATAAAAATCTTTTTCTTTCAACATTATTTCACATTGTAAAATTGTTTTGATATTATTCGATATTAAAAAAAAAAAATTCTCTCAATATTATTCGATATCATAGAAATTTATTTAAATGTTAATCGATATAATGTAAATTGATATTGTAAAAATTATAACAAATTTTTTCTTCGTAACGTAGTCCAAAAAAAAAAAAAAAAAAAAAAAATTCGTAACGAAAAGTCCTTTGAAAGAGAGATCTCTATCTTTGTCTACCTGGATACTTAAAAGAAAAAAGAAAAAAAAAAAAAAGAGAAAAAAAAAAAGAAAAAAAAGAAGAAAAAAAAAATTAAACGAAAAACAAAAGAGAAAGAACAGAAAAATAGAAAAAGAAAGAAAGAGAAAAAGAAAGTAGAAGAAAGAAAGCAAAGGGAGAAAATTCAAAAGAGACCATTCTATACGATGAAAATCTATAGAATTCAAAAATACGTGGAAAATTTTTCAAATATGAAATAATACATTTTCGTTTGGCGTTATACGAATGAAAGTGAACAAAGATACTGTGCCGACCTTGTCTCACACCTTTCACATTAGAGATCTCGAGGGAAACGTGGTGACGACGAAGATTCGCCCTCGAATCTTTCGCTAAGAGATTCGGCTTCTGCAACGCAAAACTCGTCGTCCGTCGAACGGGTGGATATGTTGCTGCTTTCGTAGGATGGCAAAAGTCGTGAAAGAAAGAAAGAGAAAGAGAAAGAGAAAGAGAAAGAGAAAGAGAAAGAGAGAAAGAAAGAGAGGCATCCTTTCGGAGGGAGCCGGGTGTTAGCCGGTACTCCCTTATCTCGTGGCGATCTGATCCTAATTTATAGCCGCGTCCCAAATAAACTAGTTTTCGCTGTCGTCACCTCGCCTCTCCTCTTCTCCCGTCTCAGTATACCAGTGCGGAGACCGTTGTTGGATCCTCGTGGCTTGGTCGCTTATAATGCCACTCTCGTTCTCTCTCTCTCTCTCTCTCTCTCTCTCTCTCTCTCTCTCTCTCTCTCTCTTTCTCTCGACCATCTTGATCTCTCATCCTTTTTTCTCCTGCCCCTTCGTTTTCCTCTCGTAGAAACGGACAGGTATACGAGAGCATAAGGACCAACTTGCTGGAGTAGAGTGCCTTTGGCAGCACCTACCAAGTAGAGACTATCTTCTTTCCTTCCTCTTCTTCTTATTCTTTTTATTTTTATTCTTATTCTTCCTCTTCTTATTCCTCTCTTTCTCTTTCCTTCGATCGAAAAAATAAAAAGGGAGAAAAAAAGGGGCAGCAGTAAAAAAAAAAAAGAAGAAGAAGAAGAAGAAGAAGAAGAAGAAGGAGAAGAAGAAGAAAAAGAATAAACACACCGTAGGACGTCCAGCCCCCTGTAATTGGCAATTAGCGCGAGGATATTTAATTGCCATTAGGGTGGACGGTGGGCTTCGAAACCTTCTTAACCTTAACCTAAACCCAAACTGTTTCGTCCTGACCCAAAGCAAAACTCGACACCTTACCTCTTACGATATTTACACGATCTACCTATGCATCTGCATAAAATTCGCGACCACCATAGAACCAACCATCGACCACCGACCACTACACCATCACCATCACCATCACCATCATCAACAACACAACACCATCACCATCATCATTATCAACATCGCCATCCTCCCTACTAATACTAACATACCAATATCATTCGGGAACTCTGTCCGTGTACTTCGAACGAAGGCGAGAGGATAGCCGATCTTTTTAACGGCTTTAAGATTCCGGGAGGATTCAGGTGTCTCCTTAATAAATCCTCCGAGACGTTGTCGCGATTCTTACCTCCCCTTTTCTCTATCACTCTTCCCTCTCTCTCTCTCTCTCTCTCTCTCTCTCTCTCTCTCTTTCTCTCTTTCTCTCTTAGCCTTCCGTTTCGTTCTCGGCAGTTCATCCGAAAAGA